ATGGGAACATTCAGCCAGAAAGGTCATATTCTGGACCATAAAAAAAATCTCAATAAATTTTTAAAAATAGACATCATACAGAATATATTTTCTAGATTTAAATTAGAAATCAGGGTGCCTGGGTGGCTCAGTTGGTTAAGCAACTGCCTTCGGTTCAGGTCATGATCCTGGAGTCCCAGGATCGAGTCCCGCATCGGGCTCCCTGCTCGGCAGGGAGTCTGCTTCTTCCTCTGACCCTCCCCTGTCTCATGCTCTCTCTCTCTATCTCATTCTCTCTCTCAAATAAATAAAATCTTTAAAAAAAAAAAAAGAAATCAATAACAGGCTTTCTAAAAAGCCACAAATACCTGGTAAGCAATGTTTCTAATTAACTCATGGGCCAAAGAAGAAATAGCAAAGGAAATCATAAAACATTTTTTAACTGTATAATAATAATAATAATAACAATAATAATAAAATATATTAAAAATGTATGAGATGGGGGCACCTGAGTGGCTCAGTCAGTTAAGCATCGGACTCTTGATTTCTGCTACGGTAATGATCTCAGGGTTATGGGATTGAGCCTCGAGTAGGGCTCCATGCTGGGCATGAAGCCTTCTTAAGATTCTCTCTCTCCCTCTGTCCCTTCAGCTCGCTCTCTCAAAAGGAAAAAAAAAGTATGAAATGCAGGTAAATCAGTGCTTAGAGAGAAATTTATAGCTTATATTAGAAAATAGAGGGGCACCTGGGTGGCTCAGTCGTTAAGCGTCTGCCTTCGGCCCAGGTCATGATCTCAGGGTTCTGGAATCGAGCCCCGCATCGGGCTCCCTGCTCAGCGGGAGGCCTGCTTCTCCCTCTCCTACTCCCCCTGTTTGTGTTCCCTCTCTCGCTATGTCTCTCTCTGTCAAATAAATAAATAAAATCTTTAAAAAAAAAAAGAAAAGAAAATAGAGGCTTAAAAATCAATTATCTAAGTTTCCACCTAAGAAACTAGAGAAAGAGGAGCAAATTAAACCCAAATAGAATAAAGGAAATAAAGATTAAATTTCAATGACATACAAAATGAACAATAGAGAAAATTAACAAAGCCAAAAAATTGGTTGTTGTTTTTTTTTTTTAAAGATTTCATTTATTTGAGAGAGAGAGAGACATAGCGAGAGAGGGAACACAAGCAGGGGGAGTGGGAGAGGGAGAAGTAGGCTTCCCGCTGAGCAGGGAGCCCAATGCGGGGCTGTCGTTCCCAGGACCCTGAGACCATGACCTGAGCCGAAGGCAGACGCTTAACGACTGAGCCACCCAGGCGCCCCAGTAGTGTCCTAATTTTGAAGGCTAGTCATTCAAATCATAAATCATGCCACAGGTCTCAAGCTTATTACTTAACTTACTAAACTTTGGAATGTGGAATTTATGGTTTGGCAAAAAAGTTGGTTCTTTAAAAATATTAATAAAATGGGCAAACTCCTAGGAAGATTGGTCAAGAATAAAACAAAGAAGCACAAATTTTTTATATCAGGAATGAAAGAGGGGATGTGACGACAGATTTTATAGACATCAAAGGATAAAAGGAGAAGATTCTGGGAAGACGATGGTAATGGTGGCAGCATAGTTCTATGTCTATCCCCGCATAAAAATTTATGTGGTGACTGGAGAGTAAAATTAAAAAGAAAAAAACACGGACAGCATTTACAACAAAATTTGGTGCAAAGGCATCTCCACAACCCCCCAATAAAAGCAAGTGGGAACAAACCACCAACATCCACCAGACCTGCACAGGATCAGCATTGGTGCAAGAGAAAGAAGGAAACAAAGGGATGGCCTCTGACAGAATAAGAACAGAGCTCAAAAAAGCCTACAGATAGTCACCGGAACCAAGACAGGCCAATTGAGAACAGTAAATGAAACTAGGAGGGATCTGCCATCTAAAATAGCAGGAGAGTGCCGAGGGCCTGCAGTGAGAAAGTCGAAGGGACTGGGGCAGGTATGGCTCCTATGAACTGTCAAATTGACCCACCACAGCTTCCTTCTAGTACCATGCCACACACCGAGGAGAAGTTGCTTGGAGTGGAATCAAAATGTAGTAAGGTGGGGACAACACAGAAGAAGGAAAGGAAAGAGGCTAGAGGAGGGGAACAGAGCCAGGATATCCCAGAAAGCAAGCCGGACAAAGTAACAGAGGAGGGAGCTCTGTGATGTGATAAAAGTTTTTCCGAACCCCACCTCATTTTTTCAGTTCAGGAAAACTAATTTCACAGAAAATGAACAATACAAAAGTATCAAGGTCAAATCCCATATAGTTATCATAAAAGAACCATAAAAGTCACATTACTACGGATAATGGAGCACACCAGAAAGGCATGCCACAAAACAGACCACAACTCCTAACTACTATTTCACAACAAGCCAAAAGACACTAAGAACATGATACGATACATGAAAGGGCAACATAAATCAGAATCAGAAAAATTCAGACATGATGCAACAGTACTCAGGACGGATGAGAAATGAAAGAAAAAGATCATTTTAGAAGTGAAGACTAAACTAGAAAGTACACAAGAACAGTGAGCACAAAAGATGATGCCTTAGATATACAATGGAAAAGAGGAAATGTTTAAAAATTAAAAAATATGAAGAGATAAAGTTAGACATTGACAAATAATGAAAATGGGCAAAAAGAAAAAAATCGGATAGATGAGTTCCCGAAGAAGAAAACCAGAGCAAAGGACTAGAATACTAAAAACTATTCTAGAAAGTTTCCTGAAATAAAGGAAAACCTCAAAACTATGTCTTCAAAGAGCATACTGCAAAGCTGAGAATGTGGTCCCAAAATGACCTGCAAAAAGCCATTCTAATAAAATGTTTACTTTATTTTAAAGATTTTATTCTTTTTTTTTAAAGGTTTTATTTATTTCAGAGAGAGAGAATGAGAGAGAGCACATGAGAGGGGGGAGGGGCAGAGGGAGAAGCAGACTCCCCACTGAGCAGGGAGCCCGATGCGGGACTCGATCCTAGGACTCCAGGATCATGACCTGAGCCGAAGGCAGTCGCTTAACCAACTGAGCCACCCAGGCGCCCCTTAAAGATTTTATTCTTAAGTAATCTCTACACCCAATGTAGGGCTTGAACTCACAACCCTGAGATCTTGAGTCGTATGCTCCAGCGACTGAGCCAGCCAGGCACCCCTAAAATGACTGAACCTTAAAGAAAATGAAAAAATCCTGGGGCGCCTGGGTGGCTCAGTCGTTAAGCGTCTGCCTTCAGCTCAGGTTATGATCCCAGGGTCCTGGGATCGAGCCCCACATCGGGCTCCCTGCTCAGTGGGAAGCCTGCTTCTCCCTCTCCCATTCCTCCTGCTTGTGTTCCCTCTCTCGCTGTGTCTCTCTCCGTCAAATAAATAAATAAAATCTTTAAAAAAGAATGAAAAAATCCTTTGGGCATCTAAACACACACACACAGAGGAAAAATTAAATCATCATTAGGCTTTTTTTTTTTTTTAAAGATTTTATTGATTTATTTGACAGAGAGAGACACAGCGAGAGAGGGAACACAAGCAGGGGGTGTGGGAGAGGGAGAAGGAGAAGCAGGCTTCCCGCTGAACAGGGAGCCCGATGCGGGGCTCGATCCCAGGACCCTGGGATCATGACCTGAGCTGAAGGCAGACGCCCAACTGACTGAGCCACCCAGGCGCCCCCATCATTAGGCTTTAACAGTAACACTTTATGCCAGAAGAAAATGAAGTAACATTTAAGAGACCCAAGAAAGGAAAGTGTGAACCTAGCAAAACAGACTTTGTAAGTATAAAGGGCACAGACTGGGGCGCCTGGGCGGCTCAGTTGTTAAGCGTCTGCCTTTGGCTCAGGTCATGATCCCAGGGTCCTGGGATCGAGCCCCATATCGAGCCCCGCATCGGGCTCCCTGCTCCGCAGGAGGCCTGCTTCTCCCTCTCCCACTGCCCCCTGCTTGTGTTCCCTCTCTCACTGCGTCTCTCTCTGTCAAATAAATAAGTAAAATCTTACAAAAAAAACAAATGAGAAAACATCTAAAGTTCTTTAAAAATTAAAAAAAAATAATAAAGGGCACAGACTTATCAACATGTAAGATCTCAGAAAACACCATTGCCAAGTGCCCTTCCTGGGTAATCTACTAGAAAATCAGCTTCCGACAACCAAAGAGAGTAGAATGACGTAAAGACTAGAGATTAATGTTAATTATAAGATTACTTGTAGAACTAAAACATATAAGGGCTAAGAAGGAGAGATCTATTATATAATGATTATATTCCCTGACAATGATTTACTACAAAGGTTTTTAATGAAGTAGAGAATGGGAAATGCATTTGCAAAATGCTTTCTTAATGTTTTCAGTAATCATATTGGTGGTAGTATTGTTATTCTGAGAGCGCTTTGTGGATTAGATAAAAGAAATGAGTAATTATGGAGTATCCTAATTCTATTATCACCTGCATCCTTGAAAACCAGGATTCTTGGTACAGAAAAAAGGAACTAGACAAGAGATTGAGTAAAAGCTCTTTAATCTTGAATTTGAATTGAAAGTATTAATATGTACTCATGAGGTATTTTACCATATGTATGTTTGTCTGTGTGTGGGGGAGTGGTTTATACACTATACAGCTGACCTTTGAAAAATGGGTTTGAACTGTGCAGGTTCACTTACACATGGATTTTGTTTTTATAAATACAGTATACTATTATAAATGTATTTTCTCTTCCTTATGATTTTCTTAACATTTTCTTTTCTCTACCTTACTTTATTGTAAGGAAAAAATATGTAGTACATATCACTACAAAATATGTGTTAATCGACTGTTTCTGTTATCAGTAAGGCTTCTAGTCAACATTAGGCTATTAGTGGTTAAGTTTTTGCAGAGTCAAAAGTTACATGTGGATTTTCAACTGGGCAGGGGGTTAGTGCCCCTAACCTATGGCATCGTTCAAGGGTCAACTGTACTACTTTGTCTACTTTTGTCTATGCTTGACATTTTATAAAAACAAAACAACTGCAAGTGATTAAAAGACATTAAATATATTAAAAACTACAAATTCACAATAATAATTTAAAGAGAGAGCAAAACAAAACAAAATCGTCGAACATCAAGTTGCTAGGGCATCAATTTACTACTTTAACAGTGATAAATAAGGGAAGACATTTAAGCATTCATCTTGCTATTCTGGTATAAACTTTATTTTAGGGTAACGAAATAGTCCTAGAGGATGTGAAAAAGTTTTTCTCTATAGAATTAGAATAAAAGAGGGCATAACAGCATTAGAAAAGTCATCATTTTGTAATCTCTAGTGAATTAACCAATTTATAAAACAGACATTAATAGATGTTAAAACAATTTGGCAAAAAATTGACAGGAACTTTATGATGCAGAATCAGGCTATCACCACCAGAAAAATGGAAGGAACCTGGGACCTGAAATGGACAGTGGAAGAGAGGAGTCCGAGCAGGAACACCTGTACTCCCCCTGTAAGTGAAAAATAAATCTTTATTGCGTTAAATCATTGAAATATGAGGCAATTCGTTATGGAAGTTAGCTTATTGTAAAAGAATATTTATATATAGTAAGACACATAGGTACACAATCATATATATATTTAAAGACACAAACATATCCAAACACATACTAAAACATTAGAGGGTATGCCTAGGTCAGGGAGAGGAATGAGAATAGGGCTCAAGGATCAAAAGAAGAAAATAAAGCAACAGAGGGTCTCGTATCAACTGAGGATGAGAGTTTACCATGCTCTGAGGAGCATGGTTTAACTTATTAAGGAATAAAAAATAATAATTTAAAAAGGTGGCAAGGAGGGGCGCCTGGGTGGCTCAGTCGGCATCTGCCTTCAGCTCAGGTCATGATCCCGGGGTCCTGGGATGGAGCCCCGAATCACATGGGGAGCCTGCTTCTCCCTCTGCCTGCCGCTCCCCCTGCTTGTGCTCTCTCTGTCAAATAAATAAAATAAAATCTTAAAAATAAATAAAAATAAAAATAAAAAGGTGACAACGAATCTACCCTTTCCAGAGAGAGCCCAGGCTAGTTCGCTGGTAGTTATCTTCTGCCTTGAGGAGCACAGAATGGTTCTAGGGAGGAGGCAGTGTTGAAGACAGAACTTTCTGGAACTGTCCACCATGTTCACCAGGAAAAGTGTCAAGCCTGAAAATTCCCTAAGCTGAGAATTTCTCCCTTCAGTCTCAGCTCTCCCTGGTAGTGATGATGCATTCTCCAGACATGGGGCCTGGACCTGGCCACCACCTTCCCACCACCCTTCACTCCAGGCTGAGGGAGGCTAGCCAAAACATAGGGGCTCATTCTGGGCCTGGGTGCATCCATCTGCCCACCCTCCATCTCCGGTATTATCTGAATAATGGCCCTCCTCCAAAGATATTCATGTTCTAAGCCTCAAAGCCTGTGAATATTTCACCTTTTATGACAAAAGGGACTTTGAAGATAAGGTTACATTGAGGATCTTGACATGGGGAGATGATCCTAGATCATCCCAGGGGGCCCAATATAATCACAAGCATATGTAATCACAACGTAATCCTCGTAAGAGAAAGGAGAATTAGAAAGAGATCAAAGGATGGAAGCAGAGGTCAGAGAGAAGAGAAGATGCTATCGGCTGCCTTCAAGATGGAGGAAGGGGCCACGATTCAAGGAATGCGAGCAGCCTCTAGAAGCTGGAAAAGGCAAAGAAATGGATTCTCCCCTAGAGTCTCCAGGAGGAATACAGACAGGTCAACACCTTGACTTTAATTTAGCCCAGTGAAACTGATTTGGGACTTCTGACCTCCAGAACTGTGAGATACTACATTTGGGTTGTTTTAAGCCAAGGAGTTTCGGTAATTCATCACGGCAGCAGCAGGAAGCTAGTACGTTGGCCCTGCTGCTGGGCAGCATAGCCTGTTCTAGAAGAGTGACATCTGTGACACCGAGGACTGGGGAATCAGAGAAGACTTTCTGGAAGCCCAAGCAGCCAGACTAACCCAGTTTCATATTACAGTTGTTTTATTGTCTATCTGACCTTGAGCAAATGTCTAAGCAACAATACGTTGCTAATAATGCATTATTTATAGTGTTGCTAAGAATTAAATAGAATAATGTTTTAAATTACCTACTACTACCTAATTACCCACTTAAAAAAAATAATAAGTCACATCTCCTTGTGGGTTTACACACATTCATTCTTCCATTCATTCAGCAGGTGTCACAGAGCACCCAGCAGTGCCTGGCCCCTTGCACACAGTGAGCTTGTCTGCTACAAACCCTGAGCACTTCTCACCCAAGCTGCCACTGAGCCTCCAGTCCGCCCAGTGCTCAGCCTTACCATCCCATCCTAAATGCGGGCCCTTACACTTGCCCACTCCCGTGGTCTCATAGCTCCTTGATGGTCCATCATGCCGTCAGCACCACTCCTTACCCTCCTAGACATTGTTTCTGCAGCTGCCATATCTCAAACCTGCCTTTACCCGTTTGTGCCTATCAAACCGGGCTGTATGTACTCCCTTGACCTGTGGAGCTCCCCAACTCCACAGGACCCATCATTTCCTCATCTCAAAGCTCCCCACCCCCACCCCACTTCTAACCTCCTGGTCCGAAATGCTGAGCTCTCTACCTCCATCCTATCTGGGTCTCCTGGCCCTCCCTGGAAAAATTGTTGGTCCAGGATAATTTTTCTTGTATCTGCAGTCCAGATTCATGAACCCTTTACCCAATCCAGGTCCAAGGTTCTCTTCCCTCAGAGCCTACAGCTCTTTCTCCAAACACTGAGCTGCCTCTCTAGGGTGGGATTAAGAACCCAAATCTTAAATGAGAAAAACTGCTCTCTGTCCTTTGGGCTTGAGTGGTGTTGACTGGGTGGGACAGGGGAACAGACAGGCTGGCCAAGTGATGGCACTGTAGATCTGGGTTCTCTAACCCGGGCATTGCCGTGCATCTACAATGGGTGACACTGGGCAAATCTCTGCCCTCTCTAGGCCTGTCTCTCTAGCCTGTCTGTGCACTGACGGGCTGGTCTGTAAGGCTGTGCTTGAGCTTGGAGGTTCTATGCAGCTATTCCTGGCAATGGTGCATAATGGCCACAAGAGGGCGCGCAACCCCTTCAGCTCAGAAGTTTGTAGCCTAATCAAACAAGGAAGCTTCAAAAAGGCATACAAGGCTTCTAAGTGAAAAAGGTAGTTTACCCAAAAGCACACTACAAAATGGCAACAGAGTAGGGACCGGAAAAGGGTATTTGTATTCCCAGCCAGAGGGGAAATCAGGACCCCCAAGACCAGGAGAGGTGGTATGGAGAGGGCTGGTAGGTAGCAAAGGAGAAGAGGCTAGGAATATACTTTAGAGATTTCTATCACTTTGAGGAGACGGGAGAAGAGAGGGTCTTTAGGGGAGAGCCACAGGCTGAATGTATTGCCCCAAAAGGACTGGAGTGGTGCTTGCAGAACAAAACCTGAGGAATTTAGGGGAAGTGGAGGTGAACTTGGCTTCCTTCCCTTCCCCAGCATAGAATGAAAAGTAAAGAATGCAGGAGTTATTCTAGGATTTGGGGAAGACCACTTCTTCATGCAAGATGGCACAGCAACTAGGCAAGGATCACCCGACATCCTTTTCTCTCCTTTTTGCCTTCCAATAATTAGTTTCAGGCCCCAGGAAAAATAAGGACCAAAATCTGGACAGTTAGCTGGGGTTCAAAGGGTTAATCTCCAAGCATTCATTCTCTGACATCGTTATAGCCCCCGCCTCTGTCCCGTCCCCTCCTTGGGCCCCAGGTTGGCAGCTTCTGTGTATTCTTTCTTTGCTGTAAATCACTAGGGCCCTAGGCCCCAGGCCCAGAGCTGGTCTCCTACTCTCTCCTCAGGTCCCAGGAGTCTAGGGCTTGCTCTAAGGGAGGAAAGAAAGCAGGCTTCCTCTGGATCTCTCCCCCTCCCAGGATGTGGGCCCTAGGACCAAAGAGCCTCTGTCTTTCCCTGCCACACCCCCTCCCCCGCAACCACCACCCATTGTAACCCAGACAAGGGGATTTGTTGTATCTCACCCTCTGGCACACATCCTTGTGACCAAATGGAGGAAAGTCCGGGGCAGGATGGGGGAAGGGAAATCACAGGATCCAAGAAGACACCTCCCCGCCTTTGGAAATTACGATACACCTCCAGCGCTCGGAGACTTCAAGCTTCTCCTCCCTCTGATTTCCATCAGCAATGGGGACAGAAGGGGGGTGGATGGAGGACTCACCGGCATATAAAAGGCCTGTGGAAGTGGAAACCGAGAAGGTGTGGAGACACAAAGGTTGGACCTCCTGGCAGACAGATTTGGGGCCAGAATACAAGAACGGCGGCAACCCCGGGACAGGGAAAGACAGGGGACCCAACCGGGCAGGCCGGACAAACTTTGGAGAGCCGTGGGTAGAGGCCCCCGCGTTTCCCTTCCTAAAAGCACAGATGTAGGAGTGCTTGCATCAGACAGGGATGCGGGCACAGAGGAAGTGAGACCCTCTAGAATAAAATGAGCGCACCCCGTTTAAAAAGTAAGAATCTTTCTGAAAAGCAGCACAGACCTCTGACAGTGAGACGCTTTCCTACCAGAAGGGGGGAAGGGTGCGGTCCTGCTTGCAAGAAGTAACGGTGTGGAGAATAAACGGTACGGGCTCGCCTAGCAGCAAGGGCTCAGCCCCCTCGGTACGGACCACCACCCCTGAGAGACTGGTACAGAGGAAAGGCTCATGCATCCTGGCAGGAAGTGACATCACTACCAGACAGGAAGGGATGGTCCTACCAGGCCCAAAGGCTTCTGGGAGGACCAGTCCCTGGGAGGTTGGCCCTGAATGTCCGGGTGCCTCCCCAGTTCTCCACCTTGGCCAAGGGGGCGGCCAAGACCCTAGATGTTGGGTGAGGTCATTACTCCATCTCTTCATCAGCGATCTCTTAGGCTTCCGAAATCCCTCAGATCCTTACCTAGTTGCAGAGGAAAAGGGAAAGGCCCTATCGTACCATAAGCCACAGGTCAAGCCTCTAGAGTCAATGTATCTATGGAAATAGCTCTAGGGTCCCCATAATTGAGGGATAAAGGCAGAGCCTCCTCGGGGACCAAAGGATGATGAGGCCAGGTTTCCATGGTAACTGCTTCCAATGCCGCCTCTTCCTGGGCCCAGAATGAGGGAGAATAAATTTCAGGGAGACCAGGGCCTAGCGATGAGAGAGCCATCGGAATACAAAAGGGTGGGAAAGTTACTATAAGAAGGTCACGTCATCCTGGCACTGCCAGTACCAGTGGGCCTCAGAGCCCAGTTTGGCACTTTCGTCCCCCAGTGGCTCAGGCGGTCCGCCTTGGACCTCCCCGGGGGGCTTCCATACAGCCCTCAAGCTCCCTAGCCTGCTGGCTGTCAGGCCCACCTCCGTCCCGGCCCTGTCCACACTGGGTGTGCCCTCTGCCCAGGCCACCTCAGGACGGGCAGCCCCAGGGGGGCCCTGTTCATCCAGCTCGCTGGGGGCCACCGTGTCTAGGAAGCTGCCAATGGAGGGGCTGTCCAGCCGGTCAGCGGAGCTGGCGTCTGGCAGGCTGTCCCAGCTGCCTCTCCTCGAGTGGCCTGGGCTCCCGCCCGTCAGGCTACACTGGCTGCTGGTGAGGCTGCCGCAGTGGCTGGTCAGCGTCCCCCTCTCCTCCAACAGCCAGCGCACAGCCTCGAGGCCCTCATTCAAGGTCAACAGCTGCTGCAGGATCTTCACATCGATGGCTCGCAGGTAAGCCTGGGGGAGTGGGAGAAGGAATCAGTCTGGGGTTCTGAGCCAGGGGTTTCCCAAATGTTTCCAGAGGCCCCGCTTTGTAGTCCAACCAACCATGCTCCAATTTCAAGAGCTGGGAATAGAAGCATGGTTGGTTTAGAGAGTGGGCGTTAGAAGCAGACAGATCACTGTTTAAAATCTCAGTTCGGGGGCGTGCCTGGCTGGCTCAGTCGCTGGAACATGCGACTCTCGATTTCGGGGTTGTAAGTTCGAGCCCCATGCTGGGTGTAGAAATTACTTAAAAATAAAATCTTAAAAAAAAAATCTCAGTTCTACCACTGATGAGTAGATGACTGTGAACAACTTTCTGTTTTCTTTCTTTTTTTTTTTAAAGATTCTACTTATTTATTTGACAGAGAGAGAGCTGAAGAGCACAGGCAGGGGGAGCAGCAGAGGGAGAAGCAGGCTTCCCGCTGAGTAGGGAGCCCATCGTGGGGCTCGATCCCAGGACCCTGGGATCATGACCTGAGCCGAAGGCAGATGCTCAACCGACTGAGCCACCCAGGCACCCTGTGGACAACTTTCTTATATTCTTTGAGCCTTGGTTTCCTTGTTTGTAAAACTGGGCTACATCACTCATCTCACAGGATGGCTGTGAGAATTTTGAGATGCTATTTATTAAGTACTCAACACAGTGCTTGACGCAGAGTAGGGTCTCAGTAAATTTTTTTTTTAAAGATTTTATTTATTTATTTGACAGAGAGAGACACAGCGAGAGAGGGAACACAAGCAGGGGGAGTGGGAGAGGGAGAAGCAGGCTTCCTGCGAGCAGCGAGCCCGATGTGGGGGCTCGATCCCAGGACCCCGAGATCATGACCTGAGCAGAAGGCAGACGCTTAACGACTGAGCCACCCAGGCGCCCCTCAGTAAATGTTTAGTATTGAAATCTGATCCTACTGAGCTTTGAACTTCCATAGATAGAGTATTAACTATTGAAACAGTCCAGATTCAAAGAACAGCCTGATAGGGAGCCTGGTGTTAATTAGGAAGTAGGGCCAAAGAGAGGCAAGAGCTGGGGAAAGAAAGAGGAAGCTAACCTGGTTCCCCAGTCCCTTCAGGGTGTTGGTAGCCGTTGTTCAAAGGGTCAGAATCCTGCTGGCTGGGGATTCGGGGCTTCTCTTCACCACACACCTCTCTCCCTGTCTGTACTGGGAGTAAGTCTGATTTACCGGGGAATCTCTAGGGTCCCTCCCAGCTCAGATGCCCTAAGTTATCTTCCCCAAACACAAGTCTGAATCTGTCCCTCCCCTGCTCAAAAGCCTTTCTGGGGTTTGCACTGCTCTTGGAAAAGAAAATCTGAACCCTTCAGCGCTGGCATTCCAAAGCTCTCAGGATGCAGCCCCTGCACGTCTCTCCAGCTTCACCTCTAGTTTACTGCCCCGGGGAGCCCCTGGTCTTGTCACACATGACCTTCTGATTTTGTTTTATTTGCTTTTCCTTGTAATCAAAGTAATGGATGCACATGGATTAAAGAGGCAAACAGTTCTGTGAGATTTATCATGAAAGTAATAGGCCCCCATCCAAATCCTAAATCTCACTCCCCTGAGACAACTATTAATCAATTTTTTAGCTGTTTATTTTGGTACTTCTTTCGAATCTCCAAATAACATGCTACTTATTGACTTTTAAGTTTTAGGTATTTTCTATTGACTTCCCACATGATAGAAGGTTAAGGATTTAACTCTCATCCTACTACCCACTCCTCTGCCATACAGACACCTTTCCCATCTCCCGGTATTCCCAACATATGCAATAAAATGAGCTGTTTGGTGATTACCTTATAAGGATTTGGAAATGCTATTCACAGCTGAGTTGTACAGTTCACTATGGTTACTCTTCATTTCTTACTTCATGTTTTCCTTAGAATAATAATAATAATAATAATTTTTAATGATCTTTTAAGATTTTATTTATTTGTCAGAGAGAGAGAGCACAAGCAGGGGGAGTAGCAGATAGAGGGAGAAGCAGACTCCTCGCTGAGCAAGGACCCTGATGTGGGGCTCGATCCCAGGACCCTGGGATCATGACCTGAGCCGAAGGCAGACGCTTAACCAACTGAGCCACCCAGGAGTCCCAATAATAACAATAATAATTATTATTCCTTAGAATTATGCCTTAGAATAATAATAGTAAATGATATATACCACACCTTATTCCATTATTGTTATATTATTATTACCACTACATTACTAGTCCTTCTCTTTTGCTTCGTTTGCTACATAGTGATCAGTAAGTCATCCCCAAACCCTCTCCCAATTGTCTGAATTTTCATCTCAAGGCATTTAAACATATCACATATTCTATCTATTCCATGTTCTTAGAGGCAGCTCTTCAGAAGCCTTCTGATCTGCCCCAATCTGAACCAGCTGCACAACTGTCCTCCACGGATCCCCCTGCACTAGCAACCTAGGGATTCCTCTGCCTCTTTTCCTGAGTTGGATCCCTTGTTTCCTGGGTCCATGTCATCTTCTTTCTTGATTCCCTCCTTCACCGTGTATGTGGTGTATTGCCTCCAGTTCCTCCAGTGGCTTCTTGAGGAAGTCTATATAGAAGGTACATTTGTTGAAGATTCACATGTTTCAAATGCTGTTCTTCTCCCCTCACACTGTTGACAGTTTGTTGGGTATAGAATTCTAGGTTAAAAATAATTTTTCTGGGCGCCTGGGTGGCTCAGTTAGTTGGGCGACTGCCTTCGGCTCAGGTCATGATCCTGGAGTCCCGGGATCGAGTCCCGCATCGGGCTCCCTGCTCGGCGGGGAGTCTGCTTCTCCCTCTGACTCTCCCCCTCTCTCATGTGCTCTCTCTCTGTCATTCTCTCTCAAATAAATAAATAAAATCTTTTAAAAAAGTGAAAAAAATCAAAAATTAAAAAAAATAATTTTTCTTCAGGATTTAAGGCATTGCTCCATTGTCTTTTTTTTTTTTAAGATTTTATTTATTTATTTGAGAGAGAGAGAATGAGAGAGCACATGAGAGGGAGGAGGGTCAGAGGGAGAAGCAGACTCCCCGCCGAGCAGGGAGCCCGATGCGGGACTCGATCCAGGGACTCCAGGATCATGACCTGAGCCGAAGGCAGTTGCTTAACCAACTGAGCCACCCAGGCACCCTGTTCTGTTGTCTTTTAATTTTCAGTGTTACACTTGAAAAGTCTGATGCCATTCTGATTCCTGGTCATTCATATGTGACGGTCTTCCTATTCTTTGTGGAAGTTTTCAGGATCTTCTCTTTGGTCCCAGTGTTCTAAATTATCCCAATAATCTGCCATGGTGTGTCTATTTTCATCCATTGAATTGGCCACTTGTTGGGCCCTTCTATTTTTAAAAAATTTTATTTATTTATTTCGGGGGGGGAGAGGAGCACAGCGAGAGGGAGAGGGGAAGCAGACTCCCTGCTGAGTGCAGACCCTGACACAGGACTGGGGTGGGGGGGAGCGAGAACATGACCTGAGCTGAAACCAAGAGCTGGACGCTCAACCGACTGAACCACCCAGGAACCCCTTCTTGGGCCCTTTTATTTATTTATTATTTTAAGATTTTATTTATTTGAGAGAGGGGGGAGAGAGAGAGAGAGCACAAGCAGGGGGAGCAGCAGGCAGAGGGAGAAGCAGACTCCCCACTGAGCAGGGAGCCCGAAGTGGGACTCGATCCCAGGACCCTGAGATTATGACCTGAGCCAAAGGCAGACACTTAACTGACTGAGCCACCCAGGCACCCTGTGTTGAGCCCTTTTAAACTGGAGACTCGTGTCCTTCAGTTCTGGGAGATTGTCTTTATTTCTTTGATGATTATTTCTCCTCCACTACTTTTTTGTTTTTTCCTGGAAATCCTATTATTTGAATAGAGGGTGTCCTGGATGGATCCTTTTCTTTTTCTCTCTTCCATCTTTTTCTCTATTTGTTCTAGTTTCTGAAATATTTCAACATTATCAATGTTTCTACTGAGTTTTTTCATATTTTCCTATCATGTTTTTATTTCTAAGAGTTGTTCCAGTTCTCTGAATGTTTTCCTTTTTTTTTTAAGATTTTTTATTTATTCATTTGAGACAGAGAGACAGAGACAGAGAGAGCATGAGAAGGGGGAGAGGCAGAGGGAGAGGGAGAAGCAGACTTCCTGCTGAGCAGGGAGCCCCACGCGGGGTTCAATCCCAGGATCTGGAGATCACGACCTGAGCTGAAGGCAGACACTCAACCATCTGAGCCACCTGGGCACCCCAATATTTTCCTTTCTAAAAAATTTTTTTTATGATTTACTTACTTACTTGAAAGAGAGTGAGTGAGTTGGGGGGGGGGTGCAGAGGGAGAGAGAGAATCCCCAGCCGACTCCACACGAGGCTCAATCCCACAACCCTGAGATCTAACCTGAGCCGAAATCAAGAGTCGGTCGCTTAATGGACTGAGCCACCAAGGCGCCCCTGAATGTTTTCCTTTTTATAGGTTCCTGCTGTGGCTGCAATAATACCTCTTCTCTTTTTAAGGACATAATTTTTTTTTTAAGATTTTATTTATTTATTTGACAGAGAGAGAGACAGCGAGAGAGGGAACACAAGCAGGGGGAGTGGGAGAGGGAGAAGCAGGCCTCCCGCCTGCAGAGAGCCTGATACGGGGCTCGATCCCAGGACCCTGGGATCATGACCTGAGCCGAAGGCAGATGCTTAACGACTGAGCCACCCAGACGCCTCTATAATTAATGTTTTATATAAGTTCTCATCTCCTGGTATTATGTCCATTTCATTCAAGGTGTTTTTTCTGTTTATTTATGCCTGTATAGTCAGAGGGTCTCATCAGATGTCTTACAGCCTCTAGCAGCAGCTCAGACCTCAGAATGGTCTCTAAAAAGCTGATTGCAAACTTTATGTACATACGTGAGGCCTGCCAACTCTAAGCCTCACTAGTAACCATCTGGCTGGGTTACTTGGGTTAGCCCTGAAGTCAGTATCTCTTGCAGTATTTTTCTCTTGGGTTCACC